GACACATTCTAATGAATGAAATAAGAAGTTATGGTGGTTCCAGTCCACAAACAGAGATAATTACTGCTTCAATGCACACTGTAAAGCCAATTTATACCTAAGAGATTCAGAACATTGACCAAATCAAGCCATGATGCCAGTAACTTCCGGATTGCAATAATATACTGTAATAAATGAAATAAGAATCTATAGCAGTTACCATTTATAAGTAGAAATAGGAATTGCTTCTTTCTCAAAGTAGAGTAGACTTCAGGGTGTATCAGTAGCTAAGCAACTTAACAATTTAAAATAGAAAATCACTTCAAATTGTTAAAAATAAAATCTTTATGCTTTCTGTACACCTTCAAAATGTAGACCTGCTTCACACTTTGAAAATTTAATACACACCCCAAACAGCTTCCGACCCCATCACCGCCATCATTTAAGGAATTGGAATCAAATTCCTTCTTAGAGTTACCGTTGTATCATCTATTCCAAGGATATCATAGACCAATTGGGACTGTTCCAAGTTATTTCATCTACTTAATATCTCAATTGAAAAAAAAAAAAAAAAAAGTGTATATAATATTATTTTTTTTTATGTTTCTTTTTTACCGGAAAACATTAATAAGATTAATCCTAATGGTCCAATAAGCCTCGGAAAGCTGAGATCCAAAGATAAATTTCCCACTATTGAAATAGTTATACAGATATTTAAATAAATAATTTATTTACTAAGGTGTTCTTTTCTTTATTTTTTTTTTTTTTAAATACTTTCTACTTGAATAAACTGACGCCTAAGTTATATAAGTTCTGGGAAAATGATTATTCGTACTAAATAAATTTGACCATTGAGAAGCCTTCTATTGGCAATAACTTCAAACCCCAACACAAGCAGTGGGCTGTAGATCACATATCTAAATCCAGACAACTACTGATTCCTCCAACAGTATTTATCAAATTGCTCATACTCCATAAAAAAAAGAAGAAAAATTGTCAATAATTAAGTTTTAAGCAAAAACATTGAATTGGCAAAAATGTCTGTTCGCTTATTAAATGGAAAATTTACTTAATAAACCAAACAAAACATTTGGCCAACCCAATAATCCTTCTGATAAGGAAAGTGAGAAAAAAATGAAGACGTCAATTGTAAGAAAACAGAATATATGGTTGCAAGTAAAAGGGACAGCCCAAAATATGAATTACAAATTGGAGATATCAACATCAAGCAAGGACAAAAATGTAATGCGTTTTCTGGGCTTTTCTTTCATTTGCTCTCATTACATAAATTCACTAAAATAGGTTGACAACATCACTTCCTCTGAATCAAACATTCTTTTAATTTTAGATTTTTGGTGAGAAAGCACTAAAAATTTTGAGTGTGTATGTTGCTTTCCATTAGATGGGAAAGTTTTCCTTGTGTTTAATGACAGAACGCCTGTAAATACTATCTGGTAAATGTTTTAACAAAGGACAGAAAGTTGTTATCATTGGTGGAACTCGTCGCCAAGTATAGGGGTGATCACCCCATGCAATGCATTAAAGCCACTAAAATACAAGTGGTTACTAGATGTGGAAGAAATAGAACAACAGAATAGCAATCAGGAGGATAGCAGCTATCAAATGACATTGCATTTAAATTTTTGCAGATTAAAGTTGGCTGGGAAGCATGGAGACAGAAGGGACTTCCACAAGCAAGAAGTGTGAGAAAAGAAACTGTTAGCATAGAATTTACAGTTACATCTAGCCAACTCAAAAAATATGTGAACCAACTATAATGAAATATTTATTATTTACAAAGAAAAAAATATGAAAATATTTTTTTTTTTTATAAATTTATAAAAATGTCTATGAACAAAAAATTTAAAAATACAATAACCATGAGTAACTAATTCTAAATTTTAAAAAAAAATGCATTTTCTGGGCTTTTCTTTCATTTGCTCACATCACATAAATTCACTAAAATAGGTTGACAACATCACTTCCTCTGAATTAAACATTCTTTTAATTTTAGATTTTTGACTAGAAAACACTAAAAATTTTGAGTTTGTATCTTGCTTTCCATTAGATGCAAAAGTTTTCCTTGTGTTTAATGACAGAACGCCTGTAATTTTTTTACCACAAATATTGCATTGTGTTTGGTTTACATATTTTGATAATTCTTTTTATAAATTTTTTAATAAAATGATTTCTTTTCAAATTTATTTCCTTATAAAAGTTAAATAATAAGCATTGGATTCCACTTGATCATATATTTTTATAATATTGCAAATTAACTTTGCAGAAAGACTCAAAAGTGTATACAATAATAGTACTGTCAGTTATATTATTGCAAGCACAAAAGAACATTGAATATATATATATATATATATATATATATATATATATATATTTATATTGAAAGACTAAAATATAATATAAACACATAACAAAGAAATACTGTAATGATAAATTTTGAATAAATTATTTTCAGGTTTTTCTTTCATTTGCATTCACCATAGAAATTCATTAAATTAGTTTTTATACTTATTTATAAAATAGTAAATAATAAATTTCGCACTGTAGTCAGTTTATATATTTTGATAATTTTGTAGATTTTTGAAGAAAAAGATATTTTTAAATTTATTTCTTTATAAAATTAATATAAATCTTTACAAAATGGTAAATAATAAATATTACACTGTACTTGGTTTGTTTGTTTTACGACATATCAACAACTCAATGGGTTATTTACTGCCAAGAAGATTTTTACAAGAGATTCATACAAATACAATATGTATTCTTTGTAAGAAATCAGTTTGTAGATCAGGTTTCATTGACATATTTTTGTAAAGAGGGTTTTTTTTGTCAAGAGTCTTTTTTCATTGCTGTATTCTTTTCAGATATACAACCCATAGAGAAATTTATTTTATTGACATTCTTATTTGATTTATATTTGTTGATTGATTGATTTTGTTTAGTGCCACATCAACACCTCTATGGGTTATTTAATGCTGAAATCTAAATAATTTGAACACAATGGTTTCAACTAAATATATTTTGAATGCAATTGTATGCTTTCAACTACAGATAAAATGTATTGTTGGTCATGTATTGTCAGCCTTTTTTTTTATTAAAAAAAATGTATTCCTGGTATTTTTACTATTAAAATGAATTTTTTTACTTTCATAGTATTTTGTTGAGGGGGTTGGGGGTCACTATTAGGTCATAGTTGGGACCCTAACAGGTGCTACTATCCAAGCTCAGAGTGGACCTGGGAACAATAGCAATTAAATGATGGTTCCACAATCTTCAAAACCTCCAAACTCCCAATCAGAGGCCTTGCTGCCGGATGTAGTTTATCATCATACTCAGGATGAGCACTGTACTTGGTTCACATAATCTAATAAAGGAACATTGCCAAGGGAATTAAAAAAAAAAAACAGTGTAATAATGGAATCAAGGGAATAATCATCCTTTTGACACACTGTTTTTTGTAGGTATGAAGGTCGGATGTTGACAAATTTTCAATGTTTTGTGCTGAGTAAAGAATTTTAACTTTAAGCATTGGTAAAAAAAAAAAAAAAAAATCTATGACCCCCCCCCCAAAAAAAAAGTGAAACTGAATTACAAGCAATTTTTAACTGACTTGACTAATGTTGTCTGCATTGTACATATTGTTTCATAAATTCAATATTTGAAAGACTGTAGAGTAAATATAAAAGCAAAAATTTTGATCTAAGAAAATTCAAACTTAGACTTTTGCAGCTGCAAAAAAACAGAATGTCAAAAGGATGGTTTTTCCCTTGACACTGCTATTATTTTAACTACCTTCACTCCTCGGCAATGTTTATTGTTTTAGAAATCGATGATTATAATTGTAATAAAACCTAATTATATAATGAAAGTTAATTTATACATGTTTTTATTCTTGAGAACTTACAACAAAAATTTTAAAATATTTATTTATTAGATTGTTTATTTACAAGAATGGTTTTATATTTACAAAATTCTAAAAACTAATACAATTAAAACTAATGCAATGTAATATTTATCATTTACCAATCTATAAAGAAATAAATATGGAAACAACTTTTTATTCATGAATTTATAAACATTTATTAAAATTAAATATGTGAGCCAACAATAAGGAAATCCTGATGACTTAACATTTCATAAAGTTTGAATCAATTGGCAATTATCCAATGTTCTATCAATATAATAAATAAATAGTGAAAATAAACACACCAATAAGTAAATAGTGTTTATTATTTTTGTTGTAAATTTTGAAGAACAAAAAGGTTTTATTAGAATTCTAATCATCACTTTTTAAAGCAATAAACATTGCAGAGGGAGTTGAAGGTAGTTAAAATAATAGCAGTGTCAAGGGAAAAAGGAACAAGTTTGCTGAAAATTTCATTAGAAACAAAGACAAAGAGTACTGAACTGTTATGTAATAAAAGTCCTTTTATATGGTAGTGGATGCTGGACAATCTCCTCACAGATGAAGAAGAAACTAAATGCAAGAGAAATGTGGTTCTACAAAAATCTGCTGAGGATAACATTGACTGAATATGTAAGCAACAACAAAGTTTTAGACAAAATGGAAACAAAAAGGAAACTTATACTTAACATCAGGAAGAGGCAGTTGAAATTTCTAGGTCACATAATGAGGAAAGAGGGCTTAGAAAATCTGATACTCACAGGACTTTAAAGGCAAGATGGAGAGAGAAAAACGATACATAAACTTAGCTTGAGTAAATGGACTGCAGAACAAGGCTTAGGAGAGATAACAGAAAGACAAAATTTATTAAGAGCTATGAAGGACTGGAAATTGGGGAGAGCCATGATCACATACATCCTGAAGGGACATGTCACATAGGATAAAGAAGTCTAAATTTGTTATAAAATAAAATTGTCAAAAGAATAAAAAAATAAAATCCCTGAAATCATGTGACGATAACATGAGTTTGAAGAAAAATTGTTATTGAGTGAACAAAACTGTTCTTTTGTTGCATCTTATGATTGTTATTATTTACTTCTTACTTGCTTGAAGCAACAGTGAAAATAATGAAAGTGGAGGGTGGGGGGGATCGAAGATGAAGATAAATAAAAGGCAGAAGGAAGGAATGAAAGAAAATCTTGAAAGAGAGATACAGAGAAACAGAAAGAGTGAGAAGAGAAAGAAAGACAATGAAAAGCTTTAAAAGAAAGTGAGATGAGAAAAAGGGAAAGAGAAAAAATGAGAGTAACTTAACAGGAAAGAAAAAAGGAAAAAGAAATAGAGAAATGATAAAAAGAGAAAGAGAAATAAGAAGGGAGAAAAATGAGAGAGGGTGAGAAAGAGAAAAATGAGAAAAGTGAGAGAAAAGAAAATTGAAAATAAGAAAGAGAGAAAGAAAAAGAAAGAACAAAAGAAGATAGAGAAATGAGAAAACGAGAGAGAGAGAAATAGAAAAGAGAAAAGGGAGAGAAATGACAAAGAGAAAAGGGAGAGAAATGACAAAGAGAAATGGGAGAGAAATAGAAAAGAGAAAAGGGAGAGAAATAGAAAAGAGAAAAGGGAGAAAAATGACAAAGAGAAAAGGGAGAAAAATGACAACTCTTCAAAAAGAGAAAATGACAAAGAGAATGGGAGAAATTAAATAGAAAAACTCTTTTTCCTGTTTGTTAATAGTTTGCTTGTTTCTCAAAAAAGAGACAAACCAAAAAGAAGTGAGAAAAAAAAAAAAAGAAAGTGAGAAAAAAAAAAGGAGAAAAAGATTTACACTGTTGAGAAAAGGAGAAAGAAAAGAAGGAGAAACTTGAGAAAGACTGAGAAAAGGAGAAAGAAGTAGAAAAGATGAGGCAAAGAAAGAGAAAAAAGAAAAAGAAGTGCCATAAAAACAAGAAAAAAAATTCAATTACAGTAGAAAAAAGATCTTTTTTTTTTTAAATTAGAAAAAGAGAAAAAGAGTTTGAGAAAAGGAGAAAGAACTTGAAAGAAAAGAGAAAAAAAAAGATGTGAGAAAAGGAAAAAGAAAGAAGGAGAAAAAGAGAAAATAAAAGTGCTGAGAAAAGGAGACAAAAGAGAAAAGGAGCAAGAGAAAGAATTGAGAAAAAGAAAAAGTCCAGTTTTAAAAAGGAGAAAGAGAAAGAAGTGAGAAAAGGAGAAAGAAAAAGAAAGGAGAAAGAAGTGAGAAAAGGAGAAAGAGAAAGAATCTGAGAAAAGATCAAGGAGATAAAGGAGAAAGAGAAAAAAGGAAAGAAAGAAAGAAAAGAAATTTAGACAAAGAGAAAGAAGGACAAAAAGAGAAAATAAAAGAATGAGAAAGAGAAAGTGAGAAAGAGAAAGAAGTGAGAAAAATGAGAAAGAGAAAGAAGTTGAGACAAAGGAGAAGAAAGAGCTTGAGGTTGTCCAAGAGAATTGCAAAAGAGAAAAAAGGAGAAAGAGAAAGAAGTGAGACAAAAGAGAAAGAAGTTGAGAAAAGGAGAAAGAAAAAAAAGAAGTGAGAAAAGGAGAAAAGAAAGAAGGGGAGAAAAGGAGATTTCAAAAAGAGACTTGGAGAAAAGGAGAAAGAGAAAGAAGTGAGAGAAAAAGGAGACAAAGAGAAAGATTTTAAAAGGAGGGAGAAAGGAAAAAGAGAGAGAAGAGAAAAATTAAAAATGAGAAAAGAGACTTTCAACAGCCAAAAATTGAGAAACAAAGAGAAAGAGAAAGAGAAAAGAAAAAAATTGAGAGAAAAGAGAAAAGAAGAAGAGAAAATAAGAAAAAAGGAGAAACTCAGAAATTTTTGAAGAAACCTAAAAGGTTTAAATAAAAGGAGAAAGAGAAAGAAGTGACAAAAAGAGGAGAAAAGAAAGAAGTGAGAAAAAGGAGAAAAAGAAGAAAACTGAGAAAAAGAAAGAAGAAGGAGAGAACTCAAAAGAAAGAGAAAGAAGGGAAAAAAAGAGAAAGAATCATTTAAGAAAATGGAGAAAGAGAAAGAAGTGAGACAAAAAGAGAAAGAAGAGAGAAAAAAAGACTAAACAAGAAACTTTTAAAGAAAGAATAAAACAGACACATAAGAAAAGGAGAAAGAGAAAGAAGGAAAAAAAAGGAGAAAAAGAATAGAAAAGAATGGAGAAAAGAGAAAAGAATTGACTGAGAAAAGAAAGAGAAAGAAAGAAAAAGAAAGAAGTGAGAAAAGGAGAAAAAAGAGAAAAAAGAAAGGAGAAAAAGAAAGAAGTGAGAAAAAAGGAGAAAAAGAGAAAAAAGTGAGAAAAGAGAAAGAAGAAAAAGTGAGAAAAAGAGAAAGAAGAGAAAAGGAGAAAGAAGAAAAAGGAGACAAAGAGAAAGAAGTGAGAAAAGGAGAAAGAGAAAGAAAAGGAGAAAAAAGAAAGAAGGAGAAAAGAAGAAAAAGAGAAACAAAGAAAAAAGGAGAAAGAGAAAAAAAGGAGAGAAGAAGAAAAAAGAAAAAGAAAAAAAGAGAAAGAAGAAAAAAGGAGAAAGAAGAAAAAAGGAGAAAGAAGAAAAAAGGAGAAAGAAGAAAAAAGGAGAAAGAAGAAAAAAGGAGAAAGAAGAAAAAAGGAGAAAGAAGAAAAAAGGAGAAAGAAGAAAAAAGGAGAAAGAAGAAAAAAGGAGAAAGAAGAAAAAAGGAGAAAGAAGAAAAAGGAAAAAAAAGAAAAGAGAAAAGAGAAAAAGAAAAAAGGAGAAAAAGAAAGAAAGAAGAAAAGGAAAGAAAAGAGAAAAGAAGTGAGAGAAAAAAGGAGAAAAGAAAAAAGGAGAAAGAAGAAAAAAGGAGAAAAAGAAAAAAGGAGAAAGAAGAAAAAAGGAGAAAGGAGAAAAAAGGAGAAAGAAGAAAAAAGGAGAAAGGAGAAAAAAGGAGAACAAAGAGAAAGAAGAAAGAGAAAAAGGAGAAAGAAGAAAAAGGAGAAAAGGAAAAAGGAAGAGAAAAAAAAAGAGAAAGAAGAAAAGGAGAAAGAAAAGAAAAGAGAAAAGAGAAAGAAAGAAAGAGAAAAAGGAGAAAGAAGAAAAAGGAGAAAGAAGAAAAAGAAAAGGAGAAAAGGAGAAAAAGAAAAAGAGAGAAAAAAAGGAGAAAAAGAGAAAGAAAAAAGAAAAGAGAAAGAAGAAAAAGAGAAAAGAAAAAAAAGGAGAAAGAAGAAAGAAAAAGAAAGAAGAAAAGGAGAAAGAAGAAAAAGGAGAAAAAGAGAAAAAAGGAGGAGAAAAAGAAAGAAGTGAGAAAAGGAGAAAATTTCTTTTTGGAAAGAAGAAAAAATGGAAAGAAGAAAGAAAAGGAGAAAAAGAAAAAGAAGAAAGAAAGAAAAGGAGAAAAAGAAAGAAGGAGAAAAAGAGAAAAAAGAGAGAAAAGAGAAAAAAGAAGAAAAGAGAAAAAGAGAAAAGAAAAAGAAGAGAGAAAAAGAGAAAGAAGTGGAAAAGAAGAGAGGAGAAAGAAGAAAAAGTGAGAGAACAAAAAAAAGAAAAGAGAAAAGGAGGAGAAAAAAAAAAAAGAAGAAAAAGAAAAGAAGAAAAGAAAAAGGAGAAAAAAAGAAAGAAGAAAGTGAGAAAAGGAGAAAAGAAAGTGAGAAAAGGAGAAAGAAGAGAAAAGGAGAAAAGAAGAAAGAAGAAAAGGAGAAAGAGAAAGAAGTGAGAAAAGAAAAAGAGAAAGAAAGAGAAAGAAGTGAGAAAAGAGAAAGAGAAAGAAGTGAGAAAGGAGAAAGAGAAAGAAGTGAGAAAAAGAGAAAGAGAAAGAAGTGAGAAAGAGAAAAAAAAAAGAAAGAGAAAGGAGAAAAGAGAAAAGAAGTGAGAGAAAAGAAAGAAAGAAGAAAGAAAAGGAGAAAAAGAAAGAAAGAGAAAGAAAGGAGAAAGGAAAGAAGAAAGAAATTGAGAAAAAGAAAAAGGAAAAAAGAGAAAGAAGTGAGAAATGAGAGAAAGAAGTGAGAAAAGAAAGAAGGAAAAGAAAGAAGTGAGAAAAGGAGAAAGAAGAAAGAAAAGGAGAAAAAGTGAGAAAAAGGAGAAAAGGAGAAAAAGGAGAAAAGAAGAAGTGAGACAAAGAGAAAGAAGGGAGAAATGGAGAAAAGAGAAAGAAGTGAGAAAAGGAGAAAGAGAAAGAAGTGAGACAAAGAGAAAGAAGTGAGACAAAGAGAAAGAAGTGAGAAATGGAGAACAAGAAAGAAGTGAGAAAAGGAGAAAGAGAAAGAAGTGAGAAAAGGAGAAAGAGAAAGAAGTGAGACAAAGAGAAAGAAGTGAGAAAAGGAGAAAGAGAAAGAAGTGAGAAAGGAGAAAGAGAAAGAAGTGAGAAAAGGAGAAAGAGAAAGAAGTGAGAAAAGGAGAAAAAAAAGAAAGAAAAGGAATTCTGAAAGAAAGGTGAGAAATGGAGAAAAGAAAGAGAAAGAAGTGAGAAAAGGAGAAAGAGAAAGAAGTGAGAAAAGGAGAAAAAGAGAAAGAAAGACAAAAGAAAGTGAGAAATGGAGAAAGAGAAAGAAGTGAGAAAAGGAGAAAAGAAAGAAGTGAGAAAAGGAGAAAGAGAAAGAAGTGAGAAAAAGAGAAAGAAGTGAGAAAAGGAGAAAGAGAAAGAAGTGAGAAAAAGAGAAAGAAGTGAGAAAAAGAGAAAGAAAGAAAAAGAGAAAAAGTGAGAAAAGGAAAGAAGTGAGAAAAGAGAAAGAAGTGAGAAAAAGAGAAAGAAGTGAGAAAAAGAGAAAGAAGTGAGAAAAGGAGAAAGAGAAAGAAGTGAGACAAAGAGAAAGAAAGAAAGAAAAAAGAAAAGAGAAAGAAGTGAGAAAAAAAAAAAGAAAGAAAGTGAGAAAAAGAGAAAGAAGTGAGAGGAGAAAGAGAAAGAAGAAAGAATTGAGAAAAAAAAAAGAAAGAAGTGAGAAAAGGGAGAAAAAAGAAGTGAAAAAAGAGAAAGAAGGAGAAAAAGAGAAAGAAAGAAATGGAGAAAAAAAGGAGAAAGAGAAAGAAGTGACAAAAAAATAAGAGAAAGAAATGAGAAAAAAGAAAGAAAGAGAAAAGGAGAAAGGAGAAAAAGAGAAAGAAATGAGAATTGAGAAAAGAAAGAAAGAAGTGAGAAAAAGAGAAAGAAGTGAGAAAAGGAGAAAGAGAAAGAAGTGAGACAAAGAGAAAGAAGTAAGAAATGGAGAAAAAGAAAGAAGTGAGAAAAGGAGAAAAAGAAAGAAGTGAGAAAAAGAGAAAGAAGTGAGAAAAGGAGAAAGAGAAAAGGAGAAAGAGAAAGAAGTGAGAAAAGGAAAAAGAGAAAGAAATAATAATAATAATAATAACAAACATGGTGTGGCAGGTGGGAGGAGGGAAACAAGGAAAGACATGTTAACCCAATGAACAAATTGCAAAGAAAAAACAAACAAACAATCAAAAAACATCCCGACAAGTAAACAGACAATGGGTCAGAGGAAATGGTAGGGTTGAAAGTTATGTTTTCAGGAAGGAAAAAAAAAAATCTTCAAACTTGTAAAATCCCAAATCCAAATTAGAAAAAGTAATAATTAACAATAGCAGACAAGTTGTTTATTTACCATCTCCCAGGAACCATGGTACCGTTTAGCGGTAGGGATGGGCGCTGGAGGTCTTTGAGGATCGAGTGGAATTGTGACGATATACAGAAACAAAAGAAAAACAGAAGTGAAAGCAAGCAAAAGTCAAGGCTACGGCTGGGATGTTGTTGGGTGTTACACAATCCTCAGAATCTGTGTGACAGTCTTGTGATGTTTATATAAACATGAGGGGTGAGGAGGGAGCAAGTCTTTTTTTTTTTTTCCCTTCATTTCTCCACATTTTCTATCACCAACCTCCATTACTGACAATGACAATCATTCTAGTTACTGATGCTCAACCAAACAATGCCACAGATTGGCATCAGCATCAGAAGCCCTCCCCACCTTGACCTTCACAAGAACACACACACACACATATATATATATATATGTGCGTGTGTGATGAGCTCCCCTGTAGATTTCCATGTATGTGGGCCCAACAGTTTCTTTTTTCGTTTTTTTTTTTTTTGGGACTGAACCACCAGCCGACCCACACATATGATTTCATTAGACTGGTAGAACCAGCCACACTCTTTGGAGGAACTGATAAATAGTGTGCTCCCAAATCTCCAAACAGCTCTCTCAAGTAATGTCAAATCCTAAGGGTAACTGTTTTTTTTTTTTTGGTTTTTTTAAATGCCACATCTCTTCAAGACTTTAGTGATCATGGCTCTCTACAGATTCCTTTTCTTTGTTATCTGCTATGACTCCTTGGGAAAGATAGTAGAGTAATTTCCTATTGCCTTCTCCTTGACGTTTTACTTCAAAGTGATCAATGGCTCTCCATAGATTAATTTTCTTTATTATCTGTACACTGCCATGCATTGTTGGGAAAGATAGTGGCACCATTTTTCATTGTTTTCTCCATCATTTAGAATTCAGAGCTGTTTTTCTCCCTTTAAAGGTGGATGTGCAGGTGGGGTAATGAATAGCAACTGTGTATGACAAGTTAGAGAGCTGAGTTTAAATTCCAGTTGGGTTCGTTACATCCACTTACATACAAATATTCTTGGGAATGGTATCAATCCATCTCCTCCTCCCACCTAGAGGTTAAATAGTAGGACTTGTATGTAGAAAAATCACTTAATATTCTCCAAAAACATTATTAATGCAATATTCATTTAAAAAAAAAAAAAAAAAAAGTATTATTTTTACAATTCAAAATATATTTTGGCTTTAAATAACCCACAGAGAGAGTGACAATTCCTAAGTAAAACATTTGAAACAATCAATCTACCTTCAGAAAATAGGTGATCATGACTTTCGTTGGATTCCTTTGCAATCTGTAAAGATGCTGCACTTGCCATATGTGTGTATATATATATATATATATATATATAAAAGTGAACATTGAAGCCAACACTCAGAGGCCACAGGCTTTTTCATGCTGGACACAATCATCTGGCCGTGAATGGTGGATTTTTCCTCGGCTATTTATATATACATGGGTCAGTGGTACATTGTAGGTAATCTATTCTGGCGGTTATTTTTGCGAGAGTGGCTCGTTTATTTATTTATTTGTTTGGGTTAATTTATTTTACTTGAGATTATAATAAAAACATGTTGAAATCGCTACAGAAAAGCTTTCATGTTTCGATACTATGATTGTACTTCCTCAGGTGATGGTAAGTAACTTATAATAAAAATAATAATAATATATTACTCTACTTTGCCTTGAGCATTTTTTAAAAGTTAATGCTACAAACAGTGTAATTTTACTCCATCTGTTCTTTCTCTCATTCAGGTATATATATATATATTTTTGTTATTCCAAATCTCTTGTTAACTTTAACATATTTATTTCCTACAGATGTGTGTGTGTGTGTGTGTGTGTGTGTGCATACATTGGTGGTCAAATCTATTTACAAAAAGACAAGGAACAAATGACTGTTGGTCAAGATGTGCACACAAAGAAATGACTATTCCCCCGTTGAAGTAAGGAGATAAAGCCAAAAGCCAATCTATAAAACAATCAGAAGACTTCCTCTTCAACAAACATTCTGTAAAATTTAAGAGGCAGCTCAGGATTGTAAATAACAAGATGTCACTTCCACAAGAGACAATCATTAGCTTTTTACTCATCAAACTAAACAATGTAACCTTTCAGTAGATTCAGGATATGGTAAACAAAGTTGATTACAAGAAGCTGGACTGCAATTATGAATTTCTGGTACACTGGTAGGATCAAATCTTTATACCATGGAATTTCTGGAGTATCAACATTGATAGTATTGTTACTATTATTTTAACTTACTGTACAATTAATAGAAGATTCTGTGTAATTGCTGGCCTCCAGATTTTGAATTAATATATTATTTCCTCTCGTAGACGAAAAGAAGAAGAGAAGAAAGAAGAGGAAGGAGAATAACAATGAGAAGGCTTACAAAAACAATGTGACGAAGAGGAGAAACAGGAAGACAGTATGAATAATAACAAAAAGGGGAGGAGAAGTAGACCCCCAAATTAATTTTGATATAACTATGTTCTTTTTTAATGGCATTTATAAAATCAAACTTATGACCCGTTTTGTTCCTGTGTATTACAAGAGAGTTTGAATGGTTCTCTAAATGTAAATCTCTTTTATGTTCGTAAATACAGTGATTTTAGATTTCATGATGTCTCCTTTATATATAAATGCTTTTACATTGTAAGAAATTTATTTGATGATTACTGGCACCTGAATTCAACACTAATTCTGTTAAATGTTTCTTTATTTTCATGTTTAATACTATGCCTGCATGTCATGTATAAATAAAAGATAACCTACCAAGTAGTCAGTTCAAGTAAAAGTTGAAGTAGAAAACAGTTTTCATAAGAAGAAACTGGACTAAAAGAGAATTTGTAAAATTCACCAAGAAATTAATGGATTCCAAACTTAACTGAAAAACACTAAATATTGCTTTATGTAAGTAACTGTATCATAATTCTAATTTGTTTATGTGGAGTTCAGATGATAATGTATATTCGTAAGTGGGTCTAATAGACATTATGTTTGTTGGTTTTTCTCAACTTGATTTGAGAACATTTTTATGTATATACCATTTCTTTTAGATAAACATGCATTAGATTCTTTAAGAATTATATAATGTTTTTGACAGGTGTTTATAGTTGGTAATATTGTTTGTTATTAATTGTTCCTGTAAGTACTTTTGATGTAGAGAATTATATTCTTTTTAAATCAGAGTGGCATTTGTAAACTCAAAGTTATGGCCAATTTTGTTCCTGTGCATTATGAGTGAGTTTGAATGCTTCTCTAAATGCAAATCTCTTTTATGTTCGTAAATATAAGGCTATTAGATTGTGTGGGACTGTTAATAACAATATTACCAATTATAAACATGTGTCAAAACCAATATATTAGATCACCAACCTTCATGGAATCCATTCTTAAAGAATCTAATCTATGTTTATCTAAAACAAACAGTATGTATGTAAAAACATTCCCAGATCAACACGCAAAAAACCAACAAATATAATGTCTACTAGATAAGCACACAAAAATATACATCATTATCTGAATCCCACATAGACAGACTAAAATTATTATACACTTACATACATAAAGCATTATTTAGTTTTTCAGTTAGGATTACAATCTCTTATTTTCTTGAATGGACACATTGTCTCTCCTTGAATTCAGAATGCAACAAATTATACTAATGTTTGTTTAATGTTTGTCAAATGCACACGAAATGAGATTAACCAATGAGAATCAAATAAAACAAAAGTAAAAATACCAAAGTTTCTTTCTTCTTTTTCTCCATATCTCATTCTCTGATGAAGCTTTAATAAAAATGAAATCTGTTAGATTGATAAACATTTCCTATTTGTTCTTTATCTTATCATAGACAAGGGCAAGTCAAAAATTATCCACACTTTCACCATAACATATTTTTATGTTTGTCACACTGTTCATGCATGCTTATATAATTTTATTTTCATCATTTCACCCCAAGCAAGGCAGGAGTGCCACTCAAAGGCAGGAGGTTACAGAAAGTGGACATGAGAGAAAAGACTGGGTATGGGGGGGATTGAGGAGAGGATAAAAGATGAACACGGTTTAAGACAGCAGAAGATGATGATTGACATTGCATTTAAGTTCTTGAAGAATGTAGTTAACAGGGAAACAATTAGGCGGAAGGGAGTTCCACTGTTGGGAAGTGCTTAGGGAACTGTTAAAGTAGAAATGGGAATTATATTTAACTATTTTAACAGTAAAAGGGTGGGACCTAGATGCCAATCTAGTAGCACACTTAAATTCATAAAGTCAGGACACCAAGGAAAAAAGCTCATCAGAGCAGTTGCCATGAAAATATTTGTAGAAAAGACAGAGGGAAGCCACATCACATTGGTGAGAAAGTGTCTGAAGTTGAGATGCCATGTCAAGATTGATTGCATTGCAGATCCTTCTTTGGGTTTTTTGAGTACCTCAAAATGAACAGCACCAGACCAGATATGGCAGCAGTATTCAATGCATGGACAAATAGTAGATTTCTAAATGTGCAAGATGGTCTCTGATGAGAAAAACCTTCTGGCACAACACAGTGATCCAACTTTCCTTGCAGTAGATGCAGCTATTGATTCAATGTAATTGTTCCACTTTCCAGTCAGTTGAAAACGTGAAGCCAAGAAGATGCAGTGAGATACTCACCTGGAGTCAAGCATCAGCCATGCTGATGGTAGGCAGGGAAGTTTCTCTATGGTAGTTAAATGAGGGCTGGGTGGGGAGTATAATTAAGTTTCACATAATTGAAGTTTAAGCTTGATTGTACGAG